GAACACACCATGTTAGAATAGGCCTCTACCTCCCAAACGCTAGGCTTAAAAGTATGCGATATCATGCCTAGCATCAGAAACTTTCTTTCTTTTTTTTTAATTTATGTATTTATGTCTGTGTGTGCAGACAGGCCGAAGGATCTGAAGTTACAGGCAGTTGTGAGATGCCCGACATGGGCGCTGGAAACTAAGTCCTGTCCTCTACAGGGATGGCTGCTGTGGAGCTCATAACCACCGAGCCATCTCTCTCTCTTCTCAAAAACGAGGACGAGTTCTGGAGATGCAGCAGCTCAGTGGCACAGAATCTGCCTAGCATATGTAAGTCCCCCTGAGTTTAAGAAAAGAAAAAAACAAAAAAGGAGGAAAATACAGGAAACCAACAATGGAAAGGGATGGGCAGATATGATATTGTGGGCACTCCAGTGGGCTTGCTTAACCACCCACACAGTTCATCATCTGCATAGAGCAGACACACGGTTCGTGAGTCTGTAATGTTTCCTAACACATTTGGGAAAGAAGAAAGGACTAACATTGCATTGAGAATGATCTAATGCACTGAGGACATTATATAGGTCAAACCAGCAACAGAGGCGTGTGAGTGTAACCCAGCGGCCACCAGCACCTTCTCGTTCATGTCTTTTTAAAAAATCTTTATTTTTATGTGTACAAGCATTTTGCCTGTGTGCATATCTGTATCATGTGCATGCCTGGTGGCCACAGAGACCAAAAGACACTGGATCCCTGAGACTGGAGGTATAGATGATTGTGAATCATCATGCTGGGATTTGAGCATGGGTCTGGTAGAAGAGCAGTCGATGCTCCTAACTATTGGGCCATCTCTCCATACTACAGTTCACATCTTAAGAGTAACTTGTCCATTATAAAGGGGGAAGGGCTTTCACATACAAAGGACATTTACCTGATTACACAGGAAAGGAAAATAAAAAGCTGTGGTGGTCTGAAAGAAAATGGCCCCCATAGGGAGTGGCGCTGTAGGAGGTGGGGCTTTACTGGAATGGGTGTGGCCTTGTAGAAGGAAGTGTGTCACTGTGGGATTGGGCTTTTAGGTTTCCTATGCTCAGGCTACACCCAGTATGGCCCAGTTTACTTCCTGTTGCCTATAGATCAAGATGTAGGACTCTCCGCTCCTTCTCCAGCACCATGTCTTACTAAGATGATGATGGACTGAACCTCTGAACTGTAAGCCAGCCTCAGTTAAATGTTTTCCTTTGTAAGAGCTGCCATGGTCATGGTGTCTCTTCACAGCAGTAAAACCCTAACTAAGACACTAGCCAAGGCTGTAATCACTGGTGGAAAAATATATCATCGATATTGGATACACATAAGGAAAAGGCTACATAAATCACTGTTCTTAAGCTGAAGTACCGGGCACCAGTGATTCCAATACCTAACACTTACACATTTCAAAACCGGTGGCATCTGGAAAAAGTTAGGATTCCACCTGGCGAGACAGTCTGCAGTCTCCTCCTTTTGCTATTAAGTTCTGTCAGCTGAACTCACGTGATTCAGAGTCAGTCAGGCTTCTAGAGAAGGGCTTATTCTTTACACAATTAATATTAACACTCTTATTAAGCCAGATGGAAGGGTCTTCAAGAGTCATAAGCATAGTAGTTAGTGGCAATGACTGTCCAACGTCATGAATGTAATTAATGCTATTAAGTTAAGAAGTTTAAAATTGTTGAGATTAATTTTGTTAATGGAAATCTTATCACAACAGAAGTTACACTTTCCCACAAAACTCAAATCAGTCATCAAGTTACATAAACCACACAGGCTCATGACTATGAATCATATACAGGACAACACACACAAAAAACACACCCACAATGCCTCCAAGTCCCACCGGGCAGTTCTCAGCTAGAAGACCATCAGTTCCAGAGGCGCAGTGACTAAAGAGGCAAACACAACTCCACAGAGGAACTGAACCCCAGCAGAGAGGCAGCCTGCAGACTGTCACCGTGAGCCGCGTGTAAACCTCACGGCTATGGCCTCAGCCCTTCGAGCCTGGCTGCTGTGGGGTCAGCATGATCTCCAGAGTCCTTGAAAGGAGCTCTAGAAATCAGAACAAGACAGTGAAGAGAACTTCCTGACTCATCAAGACCTTAAGAAAAATGGAAGAGGTCTGCTAAACTAACTCAGTTCACCAGTTCAACTAAACCCAAGTGGGCTGGTTAACTCCTAGTTTTACTCAAGACAGTAGTAGCCTGGCAGAGCTGCTGAGAGACTTCCCTGGGCTAGAGATGTGACTGAGCAGGTAAAGTGCTCGCCGAGCAGGCACAGAGCTCTAGGTGCGAGGTCCAGCACAGCATAAAAACCACAGTTCCAAGTCTACCCTGGAGGCTCAGGTGGTGTGAGTTGAGTTCCAGAGGGCTTGGGCAGCCAGCCCTGAATACCAGGCACAGCCACCCGGTATTTAAGAGACCAAGGCAAGAGGAGCACTGTGAGGTTGAGGCCATCCTGAGATACACAGGTCAGCATGGGCTACAAATTAAGACTGGCTCGAACCAAACAAAGCTCTGTACAGATGAGAGAGGAAACTCACCAGAGACCCTTGGAAATTGGAGAGACCCCTAACCACTGCAGGCCCAGGATGCAAAGTGTAAACTCATCCAAAACACCCCTAGAAAAGAGCACCTTGAGAATCCCCGGCCCACTAAGGGACACTTAGGAAGTGTCTTCCCAGGACTCAGTCATGGTGCGGAGCTACTCACAGCTCACTGCAGCCATGGTCCAGAAAGACCTAGCTACTGCCCAAGTTGGCAACAGACCCAAGTTGGCAACTGACATGATGCTGGGTTTTGAGGCATGCAGAATCCAAGAATTACGGGGTAGCAGAGGTATCCACCAGATTTCCAAGAGAAGCCTGAGAAGCTGGATTCCTTGCGAGTGGCCTGAGAGCATGATTCATGAAGGCGTGAGAGTGAAGCTGATGATGCAAGAGGCCCCAGAAATGTGAGTGCCCAGAATGTGGACCGTGACAGAGCTGTAGGCAGTAAGCCAAGAGAGGCCATATGGATACATCTAGCAAGATCACAGGAGCTGGGCTGCCCAAGTCCTTTGGAACTCAGCTCATACCACCCTGAGCCTCCAATGATGGACCTGGAACTATGGAATTTTAATGCTGTGTTTCATGTTGCTTTGGTCTGGTCCTTCCTTACCTTTGGATGAGAACGTTTATGCCACTGAATACTGGAACTTTATAATCTGTTTTTAACAGGGGCTAGCAGCTCAGAGAGTTTGCCTTGAGTCTCAGACTCAAGAGGATCTGGACTCTTGGACGTGGCCTGAATGCGTTTTGCACTATAAGATGAATATGGCCTTCAGAGGCTGAAGGTCTGGTCCCTGGATGGCAGTGCTATTTTGGCGCAGCCAACATTCAGAGGTGGGGCCTGGTGGGAGGAAGTAGGTCACTGGGAATGTGTCCTAGAGGAGTATTTGTCCCTGGCTTCTTTTCTCTCCCACCTCCTCTCTCACTCTGTTTCTTGCTTTTGGCCACCATGAAGTGAGCAGACGCCTCTGCCACGTGCTCCCACCACCACGATGCTCTGCCTCACCAGGCACTGAGACTTCTGAGCCCATGAGCCAAAATCAATCTTTCTTCCTTTCAATTCTTTCTCTCAGGTATCTGTGGCCATGGCGAGTGGTTGACACCGCCACGGTGAAGATGGCGCTAGCACTCTGAATTCTCACAATCACCTTCTGAGCCGTACACTAATGCCATCTCATGTTAAGGAAACTGAGACATACCGAGGTTGGAAAACTTGCTCAAAGCCACATAATTTGAAGTAAAAGGGCTAAAATCTAAATTCTGGAGCCTAGGCCCCTAACCCGTGAACACCTGGACTATAAAAGTGAGAAACTGAGGTTTCCCTACAGACGTTGCTGTCTGTCTGTCTATGAAGGTATGTTGTCTGGGACTAGCCAAAGGGGAGCTGGAGAGACTTCACAAGGAGGGAAGAGAACAGAGGGCAGCTTCAGGATAGTCTCAGAGGACAGCATGAGGGGTCGCAAACCTCTTAATCCTCTCAGCCTAGGCTGTAACACAAGTAAACTGAATCCCGAGGGAAGGGAGCTGTGCTAGGCAGTGGAGTCCCAGAGTGGAGAGTGGAGAGCAAGCTAAGCACAGGGAGGCCAGACTCTGTCCAGTAGCACTCGGAGGAGCAGACAGCATACCTGAGGAGCAGAGGTTCCACTTCACCAAAGACACTGTCCAACGGACAACGGTCAGGACAGTCACTGGAGAAGAGCAGTTCAAGCTGTCAGCAAGTGAGCTCACAGACGCAGGTGTGTCTGTGTCTGGCAAGAGCTAACCCGCAGTTAGATGATGAAGCACGTACTGCTGTGGTGTCTAGAGCCCACCCAAAACCATCTGCAGTCTAGTCGACCAAGCTCTGCAAAACCCCTCTTGCAGATTGTTTTAAAGCATCTGTTTTAACATATTCTCATCTAAATATCCTCCCTCAAGCAGAGCTGATGGGAGTTCCCACAAACCATATTGGACGATATTATTACTAAGCCACGGAACATGTGCCCAGCAGATAGAAAGGGTGCTTGTGCCCTGAAGGTAGATGGTGCTATGTATGAGACAAAGGTGGGGCTGGCTCTAACCAGGGACAATGCTGTGTGGAAAATAAAGCATACATCAGGGCCTCTCTCCTGCTTCTACTGTCTGTTGTCAAGCAACAAAGAGGACCAGAGTCAGCAGGCACGTCAGTCCAGGGATCGCAGCCTGAAGTACAGGTGGCTGTGCACACCGCTCAGGGTCTGCAGTAGACTAACCTTGCTCATTTGATTTGCTGCAAAAGGACGGTAAGTGAGTCTGAAGCTTGTCTGCTTGGCAAGGTGAGCTACTCAACAAGAGGACAACACCTGAAGTAAAGCAAGGGGCCGAGTCTCCCCACAAACAAGTAAGGGGAACACACATCTACGACAGCAGAGCACAGATGGAGGGAGGCGGGGCCAAACGTGTTCAAGGATACGGTCTGTACCAGGAAACAGCGTTCTTCCGGTCAACAGCTCAGCCATGATGCAGCCCACGGACCAAATATCCACTGCAATAGTGAGGAGAACACAAGCACAGACATGGTTTCTATTCAGATCCATGGCCACAAACTGGACTCTAACTGGGAGTGAAAGACTCAAATCCACATTTAAGACACCTGAGGGTCAACAACCATTTTTTTATAGAGATAAATAAGTTTATTAAAACTGTCACCCACTAAAGGGCTCCATAGGTTGTGTAAGTCAGAATATAATTAAGATAAATGAAGCAAACATCTCACAAAAGGGCAAACCTTTCTTACTGGTGAACATGGATCTCCCGGAATACTGAGTTGTCCACCCACTCCCCTGTGGTGAAGACCCAGCCCCGAGTCATCTGAAAGCCACGGGAGCAGGGCCCCTCCCCACGTGGGCCTGCCCTGGGCAGGTAACTGGAGCAGCACCTGTCTGGTTGTAGTGCATCCAGTTCAGCATGATCTCAGGAGCCCTGTACCACCTGGTAGCCACATAGCCGGTCATCTCATCGTCAGTATGCCGAGCCAGCCCAAAATCCAGAATCTGAGGGCAAGAGCAGAAGTCAGGCACAGGAACAGGTAGGTTCTGCAACCTTACGACAAAGGAAACAGTGCTGCGCTCACTAAGTGGGCGTTGCAGTCTTGACTTCAAATGCACGGCAGACATCCTCCAAGAACTTGAAGGCCCAGTAACAGGAAGACAGGCTACACATTTCGGGGTGCTTAGGAAACGGACACTAGTGAGCAACAGGATGAAAACACTGATGCACACCGCACAGACGGAGAATGCAATACTTGTAACACCATAATGTGCAAGATTCTGCAGGATTCCATTTGTATGAAACACTACAAAAGAGTAATTCACAGTCAAAAATCGTACCAGTGGCTGCCTGGATCAGGGTGAGGGTGAGGGTCACTAGGAGGGGACACTCAGAACTTTTTGAAGTTGTGGCAATTACTATGTTATAACTGGAGTAGTTACATGGACATTAGAACCTAAAACAGGTGAATTTAAAATGGGTGTTTTACTGCATTTTTTTCCCATTTTTTAAATTTTATATGGATAGGTATTTTGCCTACATGTATGCTGTGTACTAAGTGCATGTAGTGTCCACAGAGACAGAAGTGGGCATCAGATCCTCTAGATTCGGATGGTTAAGAGCACCATGTGGGTGCTGGCAAATGAGCCATCTCTCCAGCCCCCTGCATGTTATTTTTTTCCAAAAATTCATTTTAAAAAAATAGTACTACTACTTACTTTTTACAGACAGCTAATTCACCTATGTCTTATTTGAATCACTGAGTTTCTGCCATTTTTCTTTTTAGAAGCTTATCTAATAATGAGTGTTTTAGGAATGCTTAATTGTCATTCAGATTATAATACCCCTTTACCACAATTAACATGTTGTATTTCTAATTTTCTTTTCTTTTCTCCCCCCCCCCCCCAAAAGACAGGGCTTCTTTTGTGTGGCCCTGGCTGTCCTAGAATTTGATCTGTAGACCAGGCTATCCTGAACTCAGACTCGGCCTGCCTCTGCCTCCCAAGTGCTGGACTAAAGGCGTGTGCTACCGGAAACCTACTTCCAAGGTCATTTAAACAGCTTGCTTAGCCAACAGTTCAAAGTTCCAGAGTCTGATATTCCTGAGGATAAATGGCTTTTGAGATTGAAAGTCATGGCTTATGAATCATTTTCTCTAAGTCAGCTGGTCAGCTAAGGAACGGTCAAGGGAAGCAAACAATTCCATGTTTTCTTTCTTACCTTCAGCTCACAGTCTTCGTTCACTGCTAGGTTACTAGGCTTTAGGTCCTAGGAAGCAAGAAGAGGGAACAGTATCAGCCTGATGATGCACAGAGTCCCCTCCCTACAGGTGCAGAGGATGCAGACACACGGAAGACCTCCACGCTATAGTCAGTGTCTGAGCCAAAGCCCCTTCAGCAGGTACAAAGGTAGGTGCTCCTTTACCAGTCTACACTGAGAGCAACGTCGCAGTCAATCACTATTTCCACAGTTAAAACTTAAGGTTAAGATCTCAACTAGATGCCACCCCTCTAGCCCGGCTCACACTGTCAAAATAATCATCATCTAAGGCACAATACATACCCTGTGAATGATGTCAGCTGAATGTATATACTGCAAAAAAGAAAGTCAGTTGAATGAAAACCATTTCCAGCCTTCCCATGTCACATCTGATAGCATGTCTGCAGTGGTCTCCCTTGGCAGTGAGCACTGTTCGTGTTCACAGTGGGCTGTCACTCCTCAGTTCATTACACTAACTATCATTCCCACTCCACCTATGGAAGCTGTCACCCTCTTTTCTCCATGATGACCTCAGTAAAAGTTATGATGTGCTAAGTATCCAAGGTGGTTTAATTCTAAAGCAGCTTACCAGCCCCTCCTACAATTAGATTAGCTTCCCCGAAGAACACCCCTCCCCACAAAGATCTCACTATACAACCCTGGATGGGGCACTCATTATGTTGCCCACAGTGGTCCTCCTTTCTCTCTCAAGTCCTGAGAGGGAATATAAAGACCAGTGCAGGCCTGAGGAACGTTTTAAGGCCTCAAAGCACACTGATCAGACACCGGGTTCTATCAAGAAGCTACCAAGTTTTTGACATGGCTAACAGTTCCCTTCTCTTGGATATTCAGACTGAAGGGTCACAGGATGGATGACATAACACTTGGACTTGCTTTATAGTAACGTGTGGCCTAGGAAATACAGGAGCAGCAGGGTTGGCTGACCCTGTAATTCTTCCAAGTTTTTCCTAAGAAAACTGTCTGTTCTAAGTCCTGACTAGATGGCAAAGAAGGGGGAATTCTTTCCCCACAGGACACTGCTATTGCCTGTACCTTCAGCCCTCGGAGGATCTGGTAGATGAGGAACTGAACGTGGTCATCAGTAAGCTTCTGACACTTCACGATGTTGTTCAGGTCTGCCCCCATGAGATGGGTCACCAGGTACCTAGAGCAGAAGAGGAGTCACATACCGGTCTGGGAAAGATCACCCAAGAAGCACCACAATGACAGCCACCTGCAAGTTGGCAATCTAATCTCACCACATTTATACCCATTCCTGCTTTTCCAGGTTCTGTGAAGGAAAGAACTGAGGTGAAAAGAAAACAGCAAAGATGGAGAGTACAAAGACACATGGGCCACTGTGGGCAGTCTTCTTTGTCTTCTGTAGCTGAGGCCACCTCAAACTTAAGTCAAAGATGACCCTGATGCCTGCCTCTACTTCCTGAACGCTAGGATGATGACTGCCACTGTGGAGGTCTGAGTGAGAACGGTCCCCATAGCTCATGTATTTGAATGCTTGGTCCTCAGCTAGTGGAACTGTTGGGGAGGGATGAGGAGGTGTACTAGCTACTTTTATGCAATGCTGACACAAGCTAGAATCATGAGAGAGGAGGGAGCCTCAACTGAGAAAATGCCTCCTTTAAGACTGGGCTGTAGGCAAACCTGTATGGCATTTTTTAAATTAGTGATTGATGGGGGAGGGCCCAGCCCACTGTGGGTGGCGCCATCCCCGGGACTGGTGGTCCTGGGTTCAATAAGAAAGCAGGCTGAGCAAACCAGGAGGAGCAAGCCAGTAAGTAGCATCCACAGCTTCTGCATCAGCTCCTGCCTCCAGGTTTTTGCATGAGTTCCGGCCTTCACTGCTTTTGATGGTATGGAACTGTGAGTAAAATACCACCCCGCCTCCCAGGTTGCTTTTGGTCATGGTGTTTCAGCACAGCAAAATTAACCCTAAGATAGGAGGTGTGTCCTTGTTGGAGGAGGTGTCACTGGAAGTGAACTCTGATGTTTCAAAAGCTCACATCAACACTCCCCACCCCCAGCCATAATAATGGACCCTCTAAAACTGTAAGCAAGCCCCCAATTAAACGCTTGCCTCTGTAAGCTGCCTTGGTCAGTGTCTCTTCACAGCTATACAACAGTGCTGGAGATCAAACCCAGGGTCTCAGGAATGCCAGGCAAGCCCTCTAAGCCACACCCCAGCCCCTCAGTTTTCTTAGTATAACTAACTGCACACCCATAATAAAAGATTGAATTTTTATTTTACCTCATTGTAAATCTATGTTGTAGGGTTTTTTTTAAATTTAATTTAATTTTTATATGCATTGGAGTTTGACCTGCATGTCTTTGTGAGGGAATCCGATCCCCTGGAACTAGAGTTACAGACAGCTGTGATCTGACGTGTGGGTGCTGGGAATTGAACCTGGGTCCTCTGGAAGAATAGCCAGTGCTCTTAACTGCTGAACCATTACTCCAGTCCTATATTGTAAGTTTTAAAACAGGCATGCCCTTAGATTTTCAAGGTGTAATTTTCTTTTTTTCAGGAATGACTAGCAAAAGGCTGTTTATCGGTACTACCCTTAAAGGAAGCAGGAACAGGGCGGTCCAGAGCTTCCCATAGGTGTGGTGCTGACCTGTAACCCTGCCTTTGTGTGGTGCGATGAAGAGTGACTGCATTCAAGTCCAGCAGGTTTGCCACAGAGGTTCTAGACCAATGTCTTCACCCCTCCATTACCGCAGCAGCTGGCACGGCACATAAAGAGCAGAGCAGAACCACAAGGCTGAGGCCGTGAGTGAGGGCAGGTGTTTCTCCCCCAGGAGCCGAAGCTCAGCTGCTTCTCACAATGCTCAGGGATCTACTATCCTATGAAGATCAGAGGCACCTGGGCTAGTTGTGACTTTAAAGTGAGATTTTAGCCGATTTCCTAAAACCCGTGTGTTTATACTGCCTTAAGGAAAAAGATGAGCTCTCCATGTAATTTAAAGAGTGAATTAGGAGGCTGGAGAGATGGCTCATCAGTGAAAACACTTCCTGCTCTGCAGAGGACCTGAGTTCAGTTCCCAGAATCCATGTCACGTAGCTCCCAACTGCTTGTAATTCAGCTCCAGAGACATATCCTCTAACATACACATAAAGTAATTCTCAAAAATATAAAGAGTAAATTAGACTCTTTGAAGTGTTTTCATCAAGGTAGTTTTTATTTCAGTGATGTTCCAAGCCTCAAAGAATACAATCAAAGGCAGGTCCATGTTCAGGACCCACACTGTGGAGACAGAATTGACTCCTCTTAAATTGTTCTCTGGCCTCCACATGCATGCTGTACGGCATGAAAATGTACACACACACACACACACACACACACACACACACACACACACACAGACTAATAAAATGTTAACATCTGACAGAAGTCACAATAATTCAGGATACCTATCTCTAGACAATTTCTCTGTTCCTCAATACTTAATGAAGAAAGACTGTCAAGAGCACACCATCCCCTCCAAATCCCAGTCATTCATTTTTGGTAGTGCTGAGGATTGAACCCAGTGTTCTGTGCATGCCGGCAGACACTCTTTCTGCACCTCCAGTCCTGGAGCTTTTGAGACAGGGTCTCATTATTTACCAGGGCTGGCCTTGACCCGGACATTCTTCTGTCTCACCCTCCTAAGTGCTGCTTTAGGAACTGTCTATTTTTAGCCTCAAACTGGCATCTAATCTGACAAATGTTAAGAACACTGAACAGGGCCACTGTGATGAGTCGGTGGGTAAAGCACTCACCATGAAATCCTAAATTCAATCCCTAGGTCCACGGTGGATGGAGAAGAACCAGCTCCCCAAAGTTGACCTCTGACCTCCATATGTGCACCACAGTGCACATGCTTCTGCAACCACCACACACCACAAACATACAGCACACATAATAGTTAGAATATACCACCCCTGTGTAACTCTCAGTCCCTTTCTCTACCACACACAATTGTAACTGATTATCTGGGAGATTCATATAGTGGGTGCGGTGCTCCTGATGCGTTTTACCACAGGCACTTTTAGGAGGGTGAGACTGTCAACCACTGTACCAGCACACAATAGTCATTTCCACAGGAACACCACACTACTCCAGGACACAGTGAAGTCAACGAAAGCACCATAAAGTAGAATTGTTAGTATTATTTCTTTTCCTGCTGTTTCCAGAAGGTCCAAGATCAATCTATGACCATCAAGTATCAAATTTCAGCTCACATAAGAAAGGAGCTCCAAAGCCGGGCGGTGGTGGCGCACGCCTTTAATCCCAGCACTTGGGAGGCAGAGCCAGGCGGATCTCTGTGAGTTCGAGGCCAGCCTGGGCTACAGAGTGAGTTCCAGGACAGGCGCAAAGCTACACAGAGAAACCCTGTCTCGAAAAACCAAAAAAAAAAAAAAAAGAAAGGAGCTCCAAAGCAAATCACACAACAGAGGACAGGAGCAAGCACCACCCTAAGTTACTGTTTAGGGCAGACCAGTCACTTCTCAAACCTGAGCAGGATGTGGAAGGACAAGTGTGGACGAACTCAAAATCAATCCTGGTTCCACCCCAGCACCACAAAGCAAGACGGACAATCCGAAAGGGGTGCCACTAGAGAGTCACACATCTCTACAGGATTTGATTCTGGCGAGTATACTTAATGACATTTGAGAAGACATGCCTGATAGTATCACTGGACTAAACAGAAAATTCCTAAAATAAATTAAGGAAGGCTGTAGTGCACTGTAGTTGGAAAGCTATCCAATACCTCACCTTTAAAAGATTAAGTGAGATTATGTTATAAGCTGAAGGCCAAAAAGATGATTTTACAGCCTGGTTCCAACCTTGCTTCTCTCTTGTTAAGGTGGTGTCCTCTGAACTTACACTCCTCACATATCCCCCAGTGAACCAATCAGAGGTGTACTGGGCCAGTACTAGGGGGACTCAGGATTGGCAATTCAGGCTCTAGCCTGAGCCTCCTTTCCTGAGTCCTGCTTGGGTGACACTCAGTTGTCAAGCTCCGCCCCTCCCATGCCTTCTGAAAGGAAGTTCGAAACCGAACCGAACCTCTTGTTTGAGCTGGTATCTGCACCACGACTGGCTCTCCCGGAGCAATGACAAAAAGGCAGAGGTGTCCCCCGTATTTAAACAGCGCTTACATCCGCTGCAGGGGCTGAAAAGCTAACCACCAGGCCTCACCACGGAGCGCTTCTTCCCACTCTAGCTCTGATACAGCATGCAGTCTTCTGCCTCAGGATCTTTGCATGACTGTCGATCTGCCTGGGCTGTGCCTCCCCTAGATAACTATGGGTTGAATTCCTTTACAACAACAACAAGAACAAGAAAAAAGTTGTACTATTTATTAGTTGTGTGTGTATAGGGCAGAGGACAACTTTGTGGAGCCTGTTCTCCACCTGTACAGGGGGGCTCCAGGGACTGAAGCCAGGTCAGGCTTGTGCAGTGAGCACCTGCACCCTTGAGCCATCTTGCCTGCCCTCGACTTCAATATTTTGTACAAAGTACGCATCCTCAAATTCTCCTTTTTTGCTGCAGTCTGGAAGCATAGTACCTAATTTCCTTCTTTAAAAGCTCCTTATCACTGATGTGTACCATGTTTGAGGCAAGCAGGGTTATGCCTTGTTTTGTGTAGTACCTAAAGCATCCAGAGCAGTGTCTGGCCCAGGAGGGCACTAACACAGATGGTGCAGGACAGCTTAGAGCAGTACTGGTAAGACAGGATGACGGAGTGTTTTATTGGAAACGGGAAAGCTCAAGCTCTTATCTGGGATGAACACAAAGAGACCAGAGTATCATAAGGGGCAGAACAGCCATCCAATCGCCAAGATGGTAGTTTAGCAAGCTTATTTCACAACACACCACTCTCACACGAAACACAGATTACTAGATATCCTCTACATTACTGGCATCACCCAGTCTGGAATCACTATTCCGAAATATCCATACCGTCCAGGGTAGAGGAAAGACACACAGCCCCAAGCACGCTGTCAGCCAAGGAATCAACAGGTACAGAAGGAGGGCAGGAGGGTGGCCACTCCGGTCACAGATGTGCAGTGTCGGGCCTGAAGAACGCAGCGGTGGAAGACATCCGGGTTAGGTCAGAGGAAGGTGGGAAAATGCCACAGAGGAGGTGATTAGAGCAAGG